GCTTGCCTCACGTGCATGAGGCCCTGGGTTCGATTCTTCGGCACCACATAAACAAAAAAACCAGAATGGGCTGGGAAGGTGGCTCAGTGGTAGAGCGCTTGCCTTGCATGCCTGAGGCCCTGGGTTCAATTCCCCAGTACCACGTAAGCAAAAAGAAAAAAAGCCGGAAGTGGCGCTATGGCTCAAGTGGTAGAGCGCTAGCCTTGAGCTGAAGAGCTGAGGGACAGTGCCCAGGCCCAGATTCAGGCCCCACGATGGGACCAAAAAAAAAAAAAAAACCACAGAAGTGGGCGCTGTGGCTCAAGTGGTAGAGTGCTAGCCTTGAGCTGAAGAGGTGGGGGACAGCGCCCAGGCCCAGAGTCAAGCTCCATGGACCCACAAACAACAATAAAGTAATCAAAAAAAGAATCTCTTTCCTTTAAAAAAAAAAAAAAGAATCTCATGGATTTTCCTGCTCTGGCTGGCTTTGAATCACAATCCTCAGGTCTCAGCTTCTTGAGTAGCTAGGATTAAAAGGATGAGCCACCAGTGCCTGGCCTGTTTTAGCTTCTGTAAGATTTTTTTTTTTTTTGTCAGTCGTGGGGCTTGAACTCTGGGCCTGGGCGCTGTCCCTCAGCTCTTCAGCTCAAGGCGAGCGCTCTACCACTTGAGCTACAGCGCCACTTCTGGTTTTCTGGCGGTTTATTGGAGATAGGAGTCTCACGGTCTCTCCTGCCCTGGCTGGCTTTGAACCGCGATCCTCAGATCTCAGCCTCCTGAGTAGCTAGGATTACAGGCGTGAGCCACCAGCGCCCGGCTTGTGTTTTAGCTTCTTATGGACTTATTTCCTGCACTGTAAATATTCTTTTTATAAAGGTATTTAAAAAATTGTTATTATTAAGGATTTGTTCGAAGGGGTTACAGTTCCATGAGTACAATGCTTCTTGGACAATGTCCCCCCTCCTTCACTTGCCTCCATTTCCCTCCTCCTGTCTCTGCTTACAAGTTGCACAGTTTATTTATTTTTATATAGAGTATATTGAATACCATGATTGCATTTGTTCAATTCTTCCTCTCTCCATTCTTGTGCTTGTTTTGTCCCTCCCAAATATCAACAACAACAACAAAACTCACTGAAACAACAACCAAAAAAATCCCAACCTAACATGTTCCCATTTCTTACAATTTTTTTTTTTTCCTTGCCTGTCATGGACCTTGAACTCTGGGCCTGAGCGATGCCCCTCAGCTCTTCAACTCAAGGTTAGTACTTTACCATTTGAGCCACAATGCCACTTCCAGTTTTATGGTGGTTTATTGGAGATACTAGTCTCAACGGACAGGCTGTGAAGGTGGCTCAGTGGTAGAGCGCTTGCCTCCCATTAATGAGGCCTTGGGTTCGATTCCTTAGCACCACATAAACAGAAAAAGCTGGAAGTGGGTGCTGTGGCTCAAGTGGCAGAATGCTAGCCTTAAGCTGAAGAGCTGAGGGACAGCACCCAGGCCGAGAGTTCAAGCCCCACAACCAACCAAAAAAAAAAAAAAGTCTTATGGACTTTGCTGCCCAGGCTGGTTTTGAACCTTGATCCTCAGATCTTAGCCTCCTGAATATCTAGGATTACAGGAGTGAGCCCCTGGCACCTGGCTTAGAATTTGTTTTGATAAATATTATTTTAGAATCAGAGGAGTTATTCTTTTGGTTCCTCCCCTAAGTGTATTCTCCTTTAGTCAGTTTGTGTGTAAATGCATAAAGCCTGTATAAGTTATCATGTCCAGTTCTTAGATCTAGCTTCCACATATGAGAGAAAGTATATGCTGTATGTCTTTCTGAGCTTAGCTTACCTCACTTAACATAACTTTCTGAAACCTGCAAAAAGTATATATTCATTGTACAAAATAATGGAGCATGCCTTGCAAAATAATGGATTGCGCTTCTTCCTTCTTTCCCTTCCTCCTTTCCTTCCCCTTCCTTCCTCCTTCCTTCCTTCCTTCCTCTTCCTTCCCTCCTTCCTTCCCTTTCTTTCCCCCCTTGTACCCTTCCCCCCACCCCCCCTCAAGAAACCAGCCTGGTGCACTCCAGGGAAAGCTGGGCCACTCTTCCGCTCTGTCCTGTGCTGTGTTCTCCACCCTGGCACTGGGGATTAGGACGCAACCCCCCCCCCCCAACCCTCCACCCTGTTCTCCACCACACCCCCTCTCTCCTCCACCAAACCTTACCCCCCACACCACACCCCGTCTCTCCTCCAGCAAACTCTAACCCCCCACGCCACACCCCATCTCTCCTCCAGCAAACTCTAACCCCCCACACCACACCCCATCTCTCCTCCACCAAACCCTAACTCCCCACACCACACCCCGTCTCTCAAAAATAAAAAAAGAAAAAAAAAAGAACACGATAGATAAAAATAATGGATTGCATTGTGGCATTCTCACAACACCCACACATTCATCTGTATCACACTTTGAACATATTCACTCCATATTTTCCTTTTCCTGCCCCCTTCTCCTTCTAGTTCTCTTCTGCTTGAAACTTCTTTTTGTTGTTGTTGGTTCTGAGGCTTCAACTGTCCTTGAGATTCTTTTTTTTTTTTTTCTGTTTGTCCATATGGGGCTTGAACTCTGGGCCTGGGCGCTGTCCCTGAGCTCTTCAGCTCAAGGCTAGCGCTCTACTTCTGGTTTTCTGGTGATTTATTGGAGATAAGAGTCTCACAGACTTTCCTGCCCGGACTGGCTTTGAACTGAAATCTTCAGATCTTAACCTCGTGAGTAGCTAGGATTATAGGTAAGAGCCACCAGCACCTAGTTAACACATATTTTTGATAGCCATCCTACTGAGTGCAAAATATATAAGTGTTTTGCTGTTGATGATGTTTGTTCCTAGGGTATGAACTCAGGGCCTTACACTTATGCTCAGCTTTTTCACTCAATATTGGCACTTTACCACTTGAGACACATCTCCAGGTTTTCACTGACTACTTAGAATGAATCAGATTTATCTAATCTAAATTTAGATAAATTTATCTAATTTATCTAATTCTAGCCCTACATCTCTGCTTCCTGAGTAAATAGGATTATAACCATGAGACATTGGCTTCTGGTAATTAGTACCTCCTTGTCATTTTACTAAAAGTTTTTGAATTACAAGTGTGGTTGTGTGTGCATACATATATATAACTACTATATATAATATATACTATATACATATATGTATGTACATTTATTGTTTTCTTTTTTGTTGGTTATGGGGCTTGAAGTCTGGGCCTGGGTGCTGTCCCTCAGCTCTTCAGCTCAAGGCAAGGGCTCTACCACTTGAGCCACAGCCCCACTTCCAGTTTTCTGGTGGTTAACTGGAGACAAGAGACTCGCAGACTTTGCTCCCTAGCTGGCTTTGAACAGCGATCCTCAGATCTCAGCCTCCTGAGTAGCTAGGATTACAGGTGTGAGCCACTGGTACGCAGCTGTAAGTTTCAATTTTGATCAGATTTTTCTTTGGTTGCTTTTTAAAAAAGTTTTCTTTTGCCAGTCCTGGGACTTGAACTCAGGGCATGTGTACTGTCCCTGAGTTTATTTTGCTCAAGGTTAGCACTCTACCACTTGACCCACAGTGCCACTTCGGGCTTTTTCTGTTTATGTGGTGCTGAGGAATTGAACCCAGGGCTTCATGCATGCTAGACAAGTAAGCACTCTACCACTAAGGCACATTTCCAGCCCTAGATGCTTTTGATATCCTAATAAACCATTAGGTAACCAAAATCTGAGGCCAGGGATCAAATCTGTAATCCTAGCATTTGGGGAGGGCTGTGAGTACATGGAGATATGTTTCAAAAAGGTAACTAAAAAACGAAACAAAGGGCTGGGAAGGTAGCTCAGCGGTAGAGTGCATGCCTTGCAAGCATGAGGCCCTGGGTTCGATTCCTCAGCACCACATAAACAGAAAAAGCCGGAAGTGGCGCTGTGGCTCTAGTGGTAGAGTGCTAGCCTTGAGCTGAAGAGCTGAGGGACAGCACCCAGGCCCAGAGTTCAGGCCCCATGACCGGCAAAAAAAAAACCAAAAAACAAAAAACAAAAGCACACAGAGGCAAGTCATAAAGACTTATGTCTGTTTTCTAAGAGTTTTGTTCTAGCTCTTAGTATATACCTTTAGTCCCTTTTAACTAATCTTGCCTTTAAGGTAGGGATCTAAAGTCATTCTTTTGCATAAAGATGTCCATTAGTCTCAGTACTAATTATTGAAGACTGTCCTTTCAATATTGAATTGTCTTGGCATTCTAGTTGAAGTGTGCCAGTTCATTTTATTTTAAGAAAGTTATCTCTTTAGCTCAATAGGACTGATTCAACGGCTAAAGCCACTTTATATCTATCCATCAACTTTGTGTCTAATGAGCTACGGACCCAGTGGCTCAGGCCTGTAATCTCTACTCAAGAAGCTGGGATTTAAGGATCCCAGTTCAAAGTCAGTCTGGGCAGGAAAGTCCATCTCCATTTAACCACCAAGAAGCCACAAAGGGAGCAGTGGGTAAGTGAGACAGCGCTAACCTTGAGCAAAAACACTCAGGAACAGCGCCCAGGACCCGAGCTTAAACCCCACGACCGTTAAAAGAAAAAAAACCAAGACTGTGTCCAAGTGGTTGCTCTTGCTGTTGCTGTCAATCAAGGTCACGTGTTTGGCGGGGGCGGGAGTCCGGGTAAACAAAAAGTGTGGGCTGCGGGGTAAGGCTGTCAACGCTTGGGCAGAGCGGAGAGCACGCGGGGAGGAGACAAAGAGGTGTCAGGTTCCGAGGGCCGTGGCGACGGCTACCCACGTCCAGACGTGAGGCCCTGGGGTCTTCTCTCGGCTGGGAGGTGGAAGCCCCGTCCGAGGTGCGGAGGCTGCTAGTTCCCGGGGCGCGGAACAAGCCGCAATTCCCTCCTTCGGCCCCACAAAGCCGTTTCTCGCGCCCGCCCGCCCCAGGCCACTCCCCCACCGGCTTTCCCGCCGCCCTTTTCCTCTCTTCCACATCCCGCCCCTGTGCGCGTGGCGGAAGTGACGCGGGGCGTAAGCGGAAGTCCCTGCAGCCGCGGTGTTGTGCTGTAGGGAAAGGAGACGGATTTGTAAACCCCGGAGCGAGGTTCTGTGTGCCCGAGGCCGCTGCTGTGCGGAGACCTCCCGGTGAAGCCGCTGTCACCATGTCTGATCAGGTACTGGGCGCGGAGCTCTCGGTGGCGGTGGTCGGGGCCTTGCGCCGCTGGCCCGCCTGCTGCTCGGCCAAGCGGGGGGGGGGGGGGGGGGGGGGGAGATGGAGTGGCGGGGGAGGGGAGCACGCGGTGGGGGAGGGGGCGGCTGGTGGGGGGCTGGGCGGGCGTGGAGGGGAGCAGGCTGGGGCCCGGGACGCCCGGGCCCGTGGCGGGGCTCCGGGCTCCGCCCCGCCCCTCTCGGGGCTCGCAGCGCATCCCCAGTGCTCGGGCGCCTCTGGTCGCAGCTTTTCGACGTCGTCCCCCTTCTTTTCTCCCGGGTGGACCAGGTGCAGAACCCCGCTTCCGCCTCCTGAGAGAATCCCTGGGGAACCCGGCCGTCTCCTCCAGAGGTCTGATTGCCGAAGCAAGGCCTAGGCCCCAGTTATGTAACGGGAGAGAATCCCTGCCTGGGAGGCTCTGTGTCCCTTAGAAGTGGCTGCACTCCACTTTTTGGTTCTTGTTCCGGGCAGAAGGGGGTGGGGACGAGGGGGACCTAGTCTCATGTTGCCAGGAACTTAGGACAAGCTTTTTTTCAGTACGGATTGTAGGTAGGGCCAGTTCCCTGCTGCTTTCTCCTATATCCTTTTTTTCCATCTGGGGGTGCAGCGTTGTCTTCTCCGTACTTTATCACTTCTTGCTCAGGATTGGCTCATCGACTCTCCAGTTGTAAAAGAGCACTCAATAGTCAGGAAGCTAGACCCAAACTGTTGAGAGCAACAAAAGCCATTTCATCTGAGCAGTAACTTTCAAATGACTGGTACTTTTGAGAAAAATGGTAGGAACACTATATAGAGTAGTTACAGGGTATTTGAAGAGGCAGCGAGCTCCATTTTAATGTGTCAAGAATTTTGCCTAGATTTTCTATTCAATTAGGAGTGATTTTTTTTTCCCCTGAAGTTTTTCTTCCTTATCTTGTTCTAATGAACCAGTTTTGTGGCTCATTTTTTAATTCTCAAGGTTTTGCTCTGGTCTTCGTTCAGATGACTTTGTGTTTTAAAGTACTTTTGGACTTACTTGCATAGTGATAATTATTCAGAAAACTTTTTAATTTAACTTCACGAAATACTTGAACTTTTAAATTTAACACTTATTCCCTTGGCTTTTAACCCAATTTTGTATCAGCTGGTGAGTGCAAGTGATTTATACAAAATGCTTTTTTTTTCTTTTTTGACCAATCCTGGAGCTTGAACTCTTGGCCTGGGCCCAGTCCCTGCGCTTTTTTAGCTCAAGGTGAGTTCTCTACCACTTGAGCTATTGTGCTAATGGCTTTTCTGAGTAGTTTATTGGAGATGGGAGTTTCAGGGACTTTTCTGCCCGCACGGGCTTTGAACCGAGATCCTCAGATGTCAGCCTTCTGAGTAGCTGCGATTATAGGCGTGAGCCACTGGCACCTGGCTTACAAAATGCATTTTAAAAACTCATAATCTCGGGGCTGGGTAGGTGGCTCAGTGGTAGAGTGCTTGCCTTGCATGCCTGAGGCCCTGGGTTCGATTCCTCAGCACCACATAAGCAAAAAGAAAAAAGCCAGAAGTGGCGCTGTGGCTCAAATGGTAGAGCACTAGCCTTGAGCTGAAGAGCTGAGGACAGTGCCCAGGCCCAGAGTTCAGGCCCCACGGCTGGACCAAAAAAACAACAAAACAAAACAAAAAAAAACATAATCTCGATTAGTTTTGGATGGATTTACTTGCTAATAATGTAGATTAATTCCCAAGTTGGTATGAGAATAGCATTAGTATCTCCCTAGACAGTTGTTTACTTTGTTACCAAGGAGGGAAGAACAGCTATAAATGCTTAGTCTTACCAGCCTTGTATTTTGATGCTTGAATATAGCTAGAAAGCATTTGAAGTTTACAATAGCTTGATAGAAGAACAGTAAACTAAATCGGAGAATTATTTTTAGTCCAGTTTGAAGTCAGATTGTTTAAGGATGTAAAGAAAGAAAGGATGTAAGACTCATTGTTTTCAGGGGTATCTTTGAGGCTCTAACTGTTAATACTAGGACATTATTATTTTAGTTCTCTCTCTTTTTTTTTTTTTTTTGGGTCCAGTTGTGGGCCCTGAACTCTGGGCCTGGGCGCTGTCCCTCAGCTCTTCAGCTCAAGGCTAGCGCTCTACCACTTGAGCCACAGCTCCACTTCCAGCTTTTTTCTTTTTGCTTATGTGGTGCTGAGGAATTGAACCCAGGGCCTCAGGCATGCAAGGCAAGCGCTCTACCACTGAGCCATCTTCCCAGTCCTAGTTCTCTCTCTTTTTAGTTCTCATTCTTTTTTCTATTTTTTGGGGGGGATATTGGGGTTTGAATTCAGGGCTTCATACTTGTTAGTGCTCCACCTCTTAGCCATGCCTCCAGCTCTGCTTTTTGCTGGTTATTTTGGAGATGGTATTTTTCAGACTTTCTTGCTTGTGCTGGCCTTGAACCAAGATCCTCCAGATTTCAGTCTCCCTAGTAGCTAGGATTACAGATGTGAGCCACCTGGGCCTGGCTACTCCCATTCTTTGTTGGAGGTTCAGTGTTTGTTGTTGTTTGTTTGTTTTGGCTGTGAGGCTTAAACTCAGGGCCTGGACACTGCCCCTGAGATTTTTTGCTCAAGGCTAGCATTCCATCACTTCCTATTTCCTGGTGGTAAATTGGAGATGAGAGTCTCATGGACTTTCCTGACCCAGACTGACTTTGAACTGAGATCCTCAGATCTCAGCCTCTCCTGAGTAGCTAGGATTACAGGTGAGCCACCTGTATCCTGCTCTTTTTTTTTTTCTTTTTTGTTCAGTTGTGGGGCTTGAACTCTAGGCCTGAGCGCTGCTTTTCAGCTCAGGGCTAGCTCTCTACCACTTAAGCCACAGTGCCACTTCTGGTTTTCTGGTGGTTAATTAGAGATAAGAAGCTCTTGAAGCCAGGCTGGTGGTGGCTCCCACCTGTAATCCTAGTTACTCAGGAGGCTAAGCTCTAAGGATCACAGTTCAAAGCCAGCCCTTGCAGGAAAGTGCATGAGACTAGAGAGAGAGCTAGCCTTGAGCTGAAGAGCTGAGGGACAGCGCCCAGGCCCAGAGTTCAAGCCCCATGACCTACCAAAAAAAAGTCTCATGAACTTTGTGCCTGGGCTGCCTTTGAATCATGATCCTCAGATCTCAGCCTCCTGAGTAGCTAGGATTATACTTGGCACCTGGCTTGATTTTTTTTTTTTTTGGTTGGTCATGGGGCCTGAACTCGGGCCTGGGTGCTGGCCCTTAGCTCTTCAGCTCAAGGTTAGTGCTCTACCACTTGAGCCACAGCGCCACTTCTGGCTTTTTTCTGCTTATGTGGTGCTGAGGAATCAAACGTAGGGCCTCATGAATGCGAGGCAAGCACTCTACCACTGAGCCAACTTCCCAGTCTCCCCCTCCCACCCTTTTTTTAAACTTAAAAATAGTTACAGTTCTAATGACTAGTGGCCGGAGCAGCTGAGGGTAATCCTCTCTTCCTGCTCCCCCCCCCCCCCCCCAGCCTTGTACATGTTAAGAAAGCCCTCTACCACTGAGTTATGTCAACATTTCGGCTCTAGAATTGGAAAGTTACCTCAAAATAGCAGGTATCTTTCTTTTTCAGATCCCTTGATAGTACTTTTGTTATTGAGGAAGGACTTGATACTATGGAGTAGTTTCTCTTTTTTTCTTTCTTTTTTTTTTTTTTTTGGTCTTGGGGCTTGAACTCAGCCTGGGCGCTGTCCCTCAGTTCTTCAGCTCAAGGCTAGCTCTCTACCACTTGAGCCACAGTGCCACTTCTGGTTTTCTGGTGGTTTATTGGAGATAAGAATTTCACAGACTTTCCTGCCCAGGCTGGCGTTGAATTGTAATCCTCAGATCTCAGCTTACTGCTTAGCTAGGATTACAGGTGTGAGTTTTTCTTTTACAGGCTTAGTTTTTCTTTTCTTTTTTTTCTTTTTGTTGGTTGTAGGGCTTGAACTCTGGGCTTGGGTGCTGTCCCTCAGCTCTTCAGCTCAAGGACAGCACTTGAGTCATAGTATCACTTTTGGTTTTCTCATGAACTTTCCTGCCAGGGCTAGCTTTAAACCATGATCCTCAGATCTCAGCTTCCTGAGTAGCTAGGATTATAGGTGTGAGCCACCTGAGCCCAGCTTTGCACAATTTTTTTTTTTTTTTTTTTGTTGGTCATGGGCTTGAACTCTGGGCCTGAGCGCTGTCCCTCAGCTCTTCAGCTCAAGGCTAGCACACTACCACTTGAGCTACAACGCCACTAATGGTTTTCTGGTGGTTTATTGGGGAAAAAAGTTTCACGGACTTTCCTACCTGGGCTACGATCCTCAGATCTCAGCCTCCTGAGTAGCTAGGATTACAGGCGTGAGCCACTGGAGCCCAGCTGCACAATTTTTTGATCTAAACAATCGACCTGGAAATTTCATGTTCAGAGGTTTTTGTGGCTTTCTTTTTGTTGTTGTTGTTGGCAGTCATGGAGCTTGAGCTCTGGGCCTGGGTGCTATCCCTCAGCTCTTCAGCTCAAGGCTTGCTTTCCTACCACTATGAGGTACAGCACCACTCTGGTTTTCTGGTGGTTTATTGGAGATAAGAGTCTCATGCACTTTCCTGCTAGTACTGGCTTTGAACTGTGATCCTCAGATCTCAGCCTCCTGAGTAGCCAGGATTACAGTGTGAGACACCAGCACCCTCTGTTCAGGGATTTTCATAAGGAACTTTTTTTTTTTTTGCCTATGTGTTTTGAACTCAGGGCCTGGGTGCTATCCCTCAAGTTTTTCGCTCAAGGCTAACGCTAATACTTTGAGGAACAGCTCCACTTCCAGTTTTCTGGTGGTTTCTTGGAGATAAGAGTGTTAAGGACTAGCTAGCATTACTGGCAGAAGCTACTGGAGCCCTGGGGGAATTTTTTTTTTTAAGACATCTTTAGCATTTCCTTTTGGAGTTTCCTGAAAGTGATAATTTTTCAAAAATAGATAATTATGATACTCCTTTTC